ATAAGGAAACTTATTGAGGGAACACGTTGTAGGATTTGTAAGAAAGGTGCGTTAGAGGGAAGTGAAGAAACCAGTTAACTGAAAGTAGTGCGGAAGTGAACTTTTGCTTTGGTTTTAATTTTAACAAACTTTTCAGAGAAGACATTCTCCTTTATGAAAGCTTACAAGCGGTTTACATTTAAAATATATTTAGGCATAATAATAAAGAAGAGTGAGTGATGATTCATACCACCAAGTAAATTTCGTATAGTATTTGCTGATCATTTTGCGGAGATTACGTTATGAAAGCGATCTGTCCACGAAGGCACCAAGATTTCTAAAGGCTTTAAATGCCACAAAGCTTTCACTGGTAAGAATGCAGTAAACATTGCTCATCACTCATTTCTAAGGGGAAAAAGGTAGGCTCAAAGCCTTCTCTTAACGAAATCAATTGACAAACACATAAAGAAACAGGACTCTAACCGATATACATAGATTCGTTTTAGAAATCCAGAAGGTTACTTAGTTCTATAAACACGTACAAGCTTATTGATCATAAATTTCATGAAACTCAGTTGCAGTGCAATTCTTATTCACAAGAAAAATGTGTGAAACGTTTATTCAATAGATTTATAGAAATAGCATAGAAGAGCCGTTCTCAGTTTGTCAAGATATGATAGATTAAAAAGAGATTTGCACTAATCAAGTATTTGACTGGTGATAAGTTTAATGAATTTGAGCCTGGAAATTCCATTGATAAATTTAGATTCACAGTAGAAATGGATTTACGCATGACTATGAGTGTATCCAACGCAGGATAACTCTTGTCAACAGGTGCTACCTTGTACTGAGTTGGCAATTGAGAAGCAAATCCCTCTCTCAACGAACAAAAACCAAACTCCATAAGTCACTCATAATTCCCGTCCTGCTATATGGTGCAGAGGCCTGGACGATGACAACAACTGATGAGTCGATGTTGCGAGTTTTCGAGAGAAAAGTTCTGTGAAAAGATTTAGGGTTCTTTGCGCATTGGCCACGACGAATATGGCACTCGATGGAACGATGAGCTGTACGAGATATATGACGACATTGACATAGTTCAGCGAATTAAAAGACTATGATGGCTAGGTCATGTTTTCCGAATGGACGAAAACTTTCCAGCTCTCAAAGTATTCGACGCGGTAACCGCCGGGGGAAGCAGAGGAAGAGGAAGATCTCCACTCCGTTGGAAGGACAAAGTAGAGAAGGACGTGGCTTCGCTTGGAATATCCGATTGGCGCCACGTAGCGAAAAGAAGAAACGACTGGCGCGCTGTTGTTAAATTGGCTATAATCGCGTAGTAAAGAAGAAGAAGAATCAGAATTACTGCAGCTAAATACTCGAATTTCATACATCTAGAAGTCCTTTATTTGTCGAGGTGTGAAAATTCAGTCTTGTCTCACTGTTTCATATTTCGCTCATACTATACACTTCAGCACTCCATCATAAAAGCGATTTCCTCTCTCAGTGGCGAGTTTCATTGGGTGATTTCACTTATTTTGTACCAAGCGGTATGGCAACTCTTTTGGACAAAACTAAAAAAAACATGCATGAATATGTCAACTAAAAAATACGAATTTATAAAAAACAGGATTGCCACACCTAAATACAGTTTTTTTCGTTAACGTTATTTGTACAGCAATGATAAATTTATTGAACTCGTCAAAACTAAACAGATGTCAAAATATACAAGCGAAACACATTTACAAATTTTTGATACAACTTGGAAATTTTATGTGAAGCAGAAGTTTTTTCTTAAAGTATTATTTTTCTTTAAAGTAAGCAACTAATTATTCCTTCTGTTATAATACTTCTAAAAACAATTTCCACGCACTGCAAACATTTTCAAGCCCCCGAATAACCACGTAGAGCGGCTCTATTTGTATGTTAGCAAGTAATTACTTCACTTCTAAGTTCGCCACAAGCCTTTAGCAACATATGGCGCTAATGTGCTTATATAGTTTGGCCTTAGCGATTTAATTCCCATTACAGTGGTTATAAGCGCCTTGATTGCGATTTATGTTATCGAAGCCTTCCTTGCGATGAGCTTGCTGAGAATAACAATTTAATTAACATAAAAGATTAACAATAAAACGCTAACTATATTGGTCTTGCTAATCAGAGTGAACTGAATAAAAATGAACATGATAGTGTAGTCCCAGTGAAGCATGTCGCACATTAGCATACATATATTGAACTTGCCACGTGGATTTTTGTACCGACAGTTGTGAAGCGTTTTTGATACGCAAGAGATACAGAGATTTGATGCAGGGTATTCCAGTAGCAAGGAGCACATGTGAGCAAAATTTTTTTATAAAGTGGGTGTGTCCCCGGCCTCTAACAAGTATAATGTACATATGTCCTAAACCACTTAAGCTACAATAACCAAATTTCTTGAGTTCAAATCTAATTGGAACTTCTACCGACAGTGTGAAAATGGGCATTGTTAAAAACTACTAAAATCATTAAATTTTACCACCGAGATGGTATGAGAGAACTTTTTAAGAGCCGGGGTGAAAATTGGGCGATGAACGTGGCATCGCCCACTTTTTGGTGAAATCCCAAATCTCTGGACCCGACCAACCGATATCGACAAAATTTGGTACGTGGTATTTGTCCTACAGTTTTATGTCACAGTGTGGACCAAATCGGACAACAACGACGCCTACTTCCCATCTAGCACAATTTTAAATTCCACTTGATTCGTTCAGTTTCCAGTACACAAATCAAGAAGCATTTCATATAACTGGATAAAACTTTGCACGAATAATGTCTTTCATAAGTACCACCTTATGATCATAAATTGTTTAAATCCAATAAAAATGTTTAAGCCCCTAGGTACCGAGTAGATAGACCGCGGTACCTACAATTGACTTTTATATAACTGAAATTAAGGGATATTATTTCTCTTATTATGTTATGACTGTATGTCAAAAATGAATCCGACCAATACTTCCCTTAGCCCCCATGTATATAATATAAAGATTTTCGAACTTCGGTATGACCTTCTATCGCATATATCGGCCAATATATGAGATATCGAAATCAAAATAAGAAAACGTGTTTTATTCATAACAGTGTATCTTTGTGCCCAAAATAGATAAATTTGAACGACAACTTGGCTTAACGTCTATACAACTAATATCAGGACCTTAGTTATTTCACTGATTATGGCAAGTTGCAAAGCCCTTCCTTATATGTTTTAATTTACTCTTAATATTCGTAATGGAGCTAAGGCGGACAGATAAATTCTTAGCTTTACTTAAATTCACGATCCTGTAGTCCGACCGGTAAAGTGAGACCATTTTGCTAGGATTCACAAGGTGTGATCCTAATCGACAACCGTAAGAAGAGAAAACGATAACATAGATCGAATAGAATTATTTAGCTTGTCTGTTACTGACGAAAATTCTTTCAGTAAAAAAGACACCTTTGAAAAGCCGCCATATGGTCAATAGCTTCTGGATTTGCGATACTTTTAAACAGAAAAATATTCCCCGCCATAAGGAACCTTTTTTTCAAGGTCATGGGAATCCAAAATTTCTCAAAACGAATCAGCGATGTTTAAAATTTATATAATATTGTGAATGTGTATTCTTTTTTACTTATTTGTTAGTACCTCTTCAAAAAATGCACATAAAACTTTTTTCTCTCGATTGCAAGTGGATATAATTTATTAAGGAGTTCGGCGTAGTACTAAATATCAAAGAGTTAGTAACTATACTATACACATGCTTACTTATATGGTAGTTGTGTAGATCCCCAAAATAATATGAGATTTGTTGTCAAATTAAAAGTTCTTGGGCTGATATAAATGTGGGTACATTCCGGTTCATAGACTTGTTTGACTTAGAGATTGAAGCTTACGTTTGAATTTGGAGACAAGGCTGCACTGCTAAAACCATTACACAAGAATCCCCTTTTGGCCGAGAACCGATCCGAAGTAGCGGACGAAACAACTCAAATTAATTGCAAACTTTCAAATCTCGACTGAGATCTGCTCATAATCACATAATTATAAATCTAGTTTTTTATGATTAACAGAAAATTCAGATAAAACACCTTAAGAACGTAGAATCGTGGCCCGTGTCAGCTGATACGATCCATCTGATGGAGGCGCAATGTAAGTGCATAGTGAAAAACGCTACTCCCTTCTCTCTATGACGTAGGATGACATGAGAATTCACGGCATTTGGCTGTTTGCCGTAGAAACGTGTCAGCTGATTGCTCACTCACAACGCAGGGTTGCCAATCTCGATATATTGTAGTAATTATAAAAGTTGTCTTCAATATGTTTGAAATATATTAACTATTTTTAATAGTTTGTTTTCAGTTTTGATATTTTATATTATAAAAAATTGCAATTGAAAACATAGGTGTGTACAAAACTATATACATATGCGTATTGAGCAATGGCAACATTGTTCAAATGAAAACAAACAAAGATGGCTGATTTCTGCGTTTTTGCCACGGGACAACTGTTCAATAGCAAGGCAATAGCTTATGACTGGTTCTGCTATAATGAACTTATGAAGTGATAAACCGGAGATAGGTATTATTGAAAGAACTCAGTAACCTTTAGGCTAACAAATTGTATATAATAGAAACCATTCCTGGGTCAGAAGGCGGATTTAATAGAAAAATTGTGAACTGTATGAAACTGATCAACATTTAAACATATTATAACTTTTTGAACACCAATTATGAAGTGTTTAAATAGAAATAAAATCCTTTACCTTTATTTATATTTATATAAGCAGAGATTTACATATTTCATGTTGTCAGCAGCCTCTTATGGCGTACAAAGTTCAATTTCAATATTTTTACTAACTAAAATAAATATTTACTTACTACTTACACAACATCGGAAATAAAGAAAGCGAAATTAATCCTAAAGAAATTACATTAGCACTAAAAATATATCATAATTTTTATATAAAGCATTAACACATTCAGACGTTTATGGAATATTTCAATCATACCCTCTTTGTTGTACTACAGAGCTTTCCTAATATCAACACTTCACCCAAAAACTCTTAAACACCTATTATTATCCACAAATATTTATACAATGCAACAAAATCACTTTAATTCACTTGAAAACAGTATAGGGAAGTGAATAAATAACGGAATTAACAATGACAGCATAACACAGGGTGTTTCAGCTGAGATACATATATTTTTCTACATAAATAAATAATATTCTGAAACCATTAAGAACACAAAATATGTAAAATAACTAAAAATTATTGTTATATTAAAACATTTTGAAATATAACATTTTTTATTACATATTTAGCTGTTGTACAACACTACCGTCCCTAATTGATATGAGTAGAGAACGTGAATTACGTTCTCCGATATGAGCTCACAGCTGTCAAACAAAACAATGATTCATAACATAAAGTTAGAAACTACAATATTATCAATACTGCGAAATTAAAAACATTTTGCGTTAAATTTTAAGAAATACTGGTTGAATCGCGGCAAAAACGCTTTTATTAACTAAGTTTACTTGTGCAGTTTTTCATTTGTATAAAGGCCATCAAACTGGGTAACGAAATGTCAACATCGTCCATGGAAAGTAAGAACAGTTCTCCAATAAGGCAAAAACATATGTTTATCTGTAATACCACAATTTATATTTCTTAAACAATTACAGAACATCTCTTTAATTTAAAATTTGCCGTTAAGGAGTTGGAGCGCAATTCGAAAAAATGTGAAAAAGAGGAGAAACTTGAAAAGGTAAAAGCCAAGAAGGCTATACAGAAGGGTAACATGGATGTAGCACGTATACATGCGGAAAATGCAATAAGACAAAAAAATCAAGCAGTAAATTATTTGCGTATGAGTGCGCGAGTAGATGCAGTTGCAAGCCGTGTGCAATCGGCATTAACCACACGTAAAGTAACCAGTTCAATGGCTGGTGTTGTCAAGGCAATGGATGCGGCCATGAAAGGTATGAATTTGGAGAAAATCTCCTCATTAATGGAGAAATTCGAATCCCAATTTGAAGACTTGGATGTACAAAGTTCGGTTATGGAAAATACCATGTCGGACACAACTACAACTTCAGTACCTCAAGGAGATGTTGATAATCTCCTACAACAGGTAGCAGATGAGGCTGGGTAAGAATCTTATATATTAAATAAAGTGAACTAGTAATGTAATTTATCAAATTTATATTGTGCAGCTTGGAGTTGAATATGGAGTTACCCAGTGGTGTACAGAGTTCTACTATTGGTGCATCAACACAGGTTTCCCAAGAACAAGACGAGTTGACTCAACGATTAGCACGTTTAAGACAAGCCGAATAGATAACCTGCATTTGGAGTCAATAAATCATTATGATTTTGCAGTTTTGATAGCCTTTGGTATTATTATACATATGTTAATAAAAGCGAATATTTCTAATAGAATTCAAATGCTAGCTGTATTATCACCAGCTCTAAATATAACTCGTGTCATTTTTTTATGTGTTGTTGCATGTTAAACACGTACGCTTGGGGAAAATCACATATTAAAATAATCAAATATATAAATATCGATTCAAATATCTTGTTTGTATTGTACAAATTGTTGTTGTAGTAATAATTGTTTCTCCTGATGATCGCTGAAATGTGGTAAGGGCTGTATAATTCCATCAGAATTGTTTTGTTGCAGAGCAGGATTCTTCTTCATGCGTTGTTTGCGTACCTTCTTGACTTTGCCCTCGGTTGGTTCTTCAGTAGGATTCTTCGGTTTGGGCTTCGGTCCTCGTTTTTGTTCGATTTTACGTTTTGGATGTGGTGCGACCATGGGCAATTGTCGCCAAATATCATTATGCTTATCAAGCCGACGCTTCAATAGCTCCACATCGCGGGTACGTCTACGCAAAAGTTTTTTAACTGTGTTTATCCTTTGAAATTAAATGTTACATTTTATTAAATGATGATAAAACAATTTGTTTTTATTAGTACCGTAGTACACAACGCTCATTCTCTATCTGTAGCTCCTGGCATCGCTCATAGATTTTCTCAGCAAGTAGTTTATACTTTTGGACCTTTTCATCAAGTAACATATTTGATTTTTAATTTATATCGAAGCTAACATGCCAATAATTTTATTGAAATTAATTTTTATTTTCCGTTTACGGAACTTACGCTATGTTTATACTTTTACGAATGTAAACAATTAAATAAGATTCAGAACTCCTTCTTATTTTAGCTTCATATTCATTCACAATGATAAAACTGTTTTAAATATTTAATCGTCATAAACATATTATATATATATATATAATATTAATTGAATCTTCAAAATGATTTAAGTAATGCATTTAAAAGATGTTATTAACAAGCAATTATTGTACCTTTTTCTTATTGTTACGAAAATAGATGATGGAACAAAATCAAGAGTGAGTTACATGTTAGATGATTTATCGAAAATGTTTTTATCGATATATTTTAGTGTTCTGACAGGTGATTTTATGACTGCTCATTGTTTTGATTAACAGATGAAGACATAAAAAGCCGACATTGTCAACAAAAAAATTAGGAATACGTTTTACTGTTGTAGAGTATAAGGCGTTATGGCCTCATCTTCAGACTCGACACTAGCCGCAGCGAACATTGATGCAAAAAACGAAAAAAACTCAAATATCTGTATCTCGGGGAAAACGTCTGTCAATAACACTAAAATGACTATAGCAACTATACAAAAGGCTTACCACGACATCCTCAAAGATCCCACTAGTCTGGATGAGGCTGCACACTATTTATACCAATCGCTGCTGGACGATGCTGTTGTGGGTGTTTTTTTAGAAATACACCATTTGCATAGGACTGGTAATTTAGACGCACTAGACGGTGTACCAGAAGAAGGAACTGACGCTTCCTATCGCATTGTAGATATGCCAAACTATGATATTTTTGGTATTTCATCCGTTAAAAAACTAATGGATTGCACTTGCCCCAACTGTGATAGACCCGTGTCGGCGTCACGTTTCGCACCACATCTGGAAAAGTGCATGGGTATGGGACGTAATTCGTCACGTATTGCAAGCCGTCGTTTAGCTACCAAGGAAGGTACCAGCGCAAGCTCTTCATCATCTTCATCATATCTCCAAACAACGGTCGGCACAGATGATGAGGATGATATTGACTGGTCATCGGAGAAAAGACGAAAGAAGACTAATCAAGGAAATCGTAATAACGGATCAAAAAAGAATAATGGCAAATCATTTTAGAATCAGTGTGAATAACATTTAAACGTATACAAATTAACAATTAATTTCAACTTCATTCTAAGTCTATACATGCTATATGCCATAAGTATAATTTTCGTATATTAATACTGGTTATGAGCGTATGCCTGCATGTGCATATACAATTTCAAGTATGTGCTAAAAGATTCCATATATAGTGTAAAATACATGTTTTTTTTTTTGTAACAAATGCTTTGTATACATTCTACTAAATTATTCAAATTATATAATAAAATATGCGTAACGGAACTGCCGATAAACAAAATAAATATGTGTTTTTGAAAAAATCGGTTGTTCTATATATCTCCTGGCGTCTTGAATTTCTTTTGGCCAGTTATTTAAATCCAGCTTTAATAGAAACAAAAAATCCTAAGAAGAAAATTTATTTTACTGAATATAGCAAAAACTTACAATAATTTTATAAGCGATCTGTGTTTGAATATGTATTATTATACATATATACGTATGCATGTACATTTAAAAAATCTTTGAAAGGCATACTCCTAGTAAAGTTGGTAAAGTGCGTATCATTTAAGTAACTTAGATTATGGGAGTCAATTTAATAATTATTATTGTAAATAATTATTTTTATACCGAAAAAAAAGAACAGCTCCCTACTCTTATTTGTTCTTAGTCAGAAAAGCTTTCTGGCTTTTAATTTTTGTTAGTTGCATTTCAACTTCTTTGATGTACTTTTCCGGCAAACAGGCGTCGCGCATTGCTGCCAATTTCGCGTCAATTACCGCGCGTATATTGCGATCTCGTTGGCGCTCGCCCTCACGCCAGTCCATAGCCTGTGCACGATCTAGTTCTAAGAGACGACGTCGTTCCAGCTCCTTATCATTCATTTGCTTTATAATGGCTTGACGGTAGCATTCGTTCTGGCGCTCACGCTGCACTTCCTGCTGTTTCTGTTTCTCCTCATCGACTTTCACTTGTGCCATTAGATTGTCAAAGTCCTGTTCGGCGCGTGCAATTTGCAACGCTTGTCGCTGTTTGGTTTGACGCAATTGGCTTTCGCGTGCTTCGGCCAAATCTTTCTCGATTTGTTTCTTACGCAAGGCCGCTTCCTTCTCCTTTCGACGGTATTCACGTTCAATACGCTCCTGTTCACGCATATAGCTCAGCTCTTCGCTAGCTGATTTCGCCTCCAGCACTTTTTGAGCTAGTATAAATATGCGCTGCCGCTTACTTTCGGCCGCCTCTTGTGCCAATTTCTTCTCCATTGCCAACTCGCGCTCCTTTTTCTGCTTTTCACGCATATATGCGGCAGCGCGCATATCAGCTTCACGCTCTTGCTCACAAAGCATCCTCTTGAAAAGTGCTGCCATTTCGGCAATACGATTTAGTTCTTCACGGAATTTCAATTTACGCTCTCGTTGCAACTGTGCTTGACGCTCATCTTCAGCACGTATCAATTCATTGGCCTTGCGTATACGTTTGGCTTCTTGCTCCAAACGTTCGGCTTCCAAAAAGCGCAACGTCTCGCGTTCACTCAATTGATTACGTATCTCACAAGCGTATTTCAACTTCTCCTCTTTCTTCTTCTCCTCGTCGGCATCCTCTTTTTTGAGCGCGCTTGTGGCTCGTTCCAATACCATTCGATCCATACGCATCTCCTCACTACGTAAGTCACGTTGAAAATCTTCTTTCTCCTGTATCTGCGCATCGCGGACTGCCTGACATTTGGCATTTAATATGATGCGATTGACCCGACGAACTTCCTCTTCCTGTTCATGTTTGGCTAGAAAAGCACGCTCCAAAACCTTCACTTTTTCGCCCGCCCCAAATAGGTCTTCTTTTACAGCATTTTCCTCCAAAGCTTTCTGTCGGGCATCGTCAATCTTCTTGAAGCGCATGCGCAGCTCTTCGGTCTCTTTTTCCATGCGTTTTCGTTCCTCCTCTTGTCGCTTCAATACTTCTAAACGATCTTCTAGTGTTACCACCTTGGATGCTTTCTTCAGCCGATCCAACTCCTTTTGTGTTAGTGTTGTCTGATTTTTTGTTCTGCCCGATTTCGGTCCCACCGGTCGTTTATTCAACGTTTGAGGCGTGTAGCCCATTACTTTCAGAAATTCGGTGCATTCTTTGGCCGCTTTCTTATTGTTTTGTGCGATAATGGCTGCTTTCAAGGACGCATTCAGATCTGCGGTAGTGCCAGCTGGTATATTTGTGCTGCTCCCGTGTGAACGATGTGTGGTCGATGTTTTGGTCCGCCTCTTGGCAGCGTTTTCCAGCTGGTCTCGTACAAGCCGTATGTTCGAGGCCGTGAAACATGGCATGATTCCAAATATTTTTATATTAGCACTTCTATATATATATCGATTATTTTACTAGAATTAAAAGTAGTTAAATTCTGCTTATATATGGTATTAAAAAAATAAATTTCTTATTTTTCCAAAGAAAAATTTTGAAAGTTGTGTGAGTGAAAGTTCGATCTATTTTGATGTACAACAAAACGACTTGGAGTCTCAAATGCGTATTAGTGTTTAGTAACGATTATTTTAATAAACAGGAAGTTGTCATAGAGATTTGCGAGTAGCTCAGGTCAACGCATAATCGATTCCATAGTTTCAAACTGCAAGACAAAAGCATTTGTATTTGCCACTTATAATTTGAAGTGACGATCTCACAGAGGCAAATATATCGAGTTTAATGATTTCGCTTACTAAACGCGTTATGTGGCATTTTTCGAAGAGGCGCATATTTCATTTAATATTTGACCTTAAGTTTAGAGTTTGCGGAGCCAAATACTTTCAGACCTGCAAAACTATTTCTGGAATCAACTTCACAGAATATTCTCAAATATATTTACGTTTGATATAAGGTATATGCTAGCTCAATTTTTCATTCATAAAAGGGATTAACTCTTTAAGGATATAGGGCGAAAATTGTTATATGCAGTTATGAAGAAGAGATGGGGTGAAAATTGTTATATGCAGTTGTGAAGGAGAGATTTCACATTTCAATTATGAACACTTACAAAACACATTTCGCGATTAGACATTACCTGTATAAAATGAAACGCGGACTCTTAAAATTAAGATCAATCAGTGTTTCGGCATTTAGACAGCGATTGGGCAAGGCAGCAGCCTCAAAGAAAATTGCCGTTGGTGATAAATACAATAATGGAATCGCTACCATGTAAGAAATGCAATAATGAATTATTTTATTACCCGAAAATACAACTGTTTTCAGATATGCATACATATGTATATGCTATATACAGGCATCGAAGGTCTAAATATAGTATAAGGTATTTATTTATTAAATAAAACAGAATTAAACATGTTGTTTTCTTCTACGGAAATAAATGTTTTTAATGGTTCATCAGGCAATTGCTCGTCAAACCGTATTTCTTCGAACGATGTACCTTGTGCTTTCTTAAGAGCATTTCACCTGTTTCGGAATGTGGACAAATTTCACAATTCTTGTAATTCATTTTCTTAAACAATGAGTAAATTAAGCTTTCGTCCATTACTTCAATCAAATTATTTTATTTGAAACCGTCCAACACCTTATGAATGTCGTTAGAGCATCTAATTAGACGGAGAACCAATTTTTCGTTTTTCTTACTTGCAAATATTATATTTACAAAAATTGCATGTGGATTTTTTACACTCTTGCAACCTCTTGCTACAGAGTATTACAGTTCTGTTCACCTAACCGTTGGACGTATCACCTAAAACAAAGCGAGATACATATAGGGTTATATATACATACATATATAAATGAAGTATATATATATATATAGTATGTATATAAAGTTGAAATCCGAGGTCTGTCTGTCCGTCCATCCGTCCAAGCAAGCTGTAAATTGAATAAAATTGAGATATCTTGATGAAACATGGTAAGCGGGTTTCGTACAAACAATATTACGAGTTTGTAGATGGGCGTAATCGGACCACTGCCACGAGCACAAACCGCCATTAGTCGAAAACCTATAAAGTGCCCTAACTAAGGACTAAAGTACGATATAAAACCAAAGTTGGTACAGGAGATCGCAGTAACAAGGGTCACCTCCGAGATGGTAAGAGAGGACTCTATTGAAGGCGGCGTGCAAATTAGACGGGGCTCCCGACTGACCAATTGAGACATAATTTAGTACGTTGCATCATTTATCTATGTTATTGTACGAAAATGGACGAAATCGGATAACAACCGATTGCAGATAGCAAAATTTTAAATTCCACTTGATTCGTTCAGTTTTCACTACGCAAATCAAGAAGCAATTAATATGATGGGATAAAACTGTGCACGCTAAAGACAGTGTGCCACCTCATGACCAAAAATTATTTAAATCCAACAAAAACTGTTCAAGCCCTTAGGTACCCAATATTTAGACCCCGGTACCTATATTTGACTTTTCATCGAAAATGTCGATCGATGTGTGAGATATACAATTGAAATTCAGACAGAACTCTTGCCTAACTAAATTTCATTGTATCAAAAATGGATTGAATCGAGTCAATACTACCCTGAGATTCTATATGCCTAAAATAAAGATTTTCGAACTTCTAGGTGAGTTTATACCGCATATAGTGGTCATTATTTGAGTTATCTCAACGAAAATAGCAAAAAAATGTTTTACTCATAATAGTATATCTTGGGGCTTAAAATAGATACAATTAAGCGAAAACGTGACCTACCCCTATAACCCTATAACTATTACAGGATTTCGAATATCCACTTTGTTCCTTATGATTGGCGATTGCATGTAAGGTACCTTAATGAAACTTAGGGAACATGTTTTTGATTATATGGCATATTAGTAGTATGTGGGATGAGCAAAAACAGATAAACTCACGTCGATACTACCCCAACTCCCATATACTACATATTTGGTAGTCGAAAAAGTCATTTCGTATTTTGTCAATAGATGTTGTTGCAGTCGAATATCTCCAATACTACCAATCACATTAGGTAGATTCTCTTGCTTTTGCAAAATGGCAGATTGCAAACTCCTATACCGAAATTTGCAAGGGTACGAGAGCAAC